ATGTTCAAAAGCAATGCGCGCGGAGAATTTAGCAATCACCGATCCAGAAGATGATGCCACGAGTGCCACGACGTCAAGCTCGACGGTTTCAAAGACGAAAAAAAGGAAGTATGATGAATCTTATATCAGTTTCGGATTTGTTGATTCCAACGGCTCACCTCTCTGCATGCTCTGTAGTAAACTGCTTCCTAATAGTTCCATGGCACCTGCCAAATTGCGTCGACATTTAGAAACCGTACACCCCGAGACTAAAGACAAGAATAAAGAATTTTTTGTTCGCAAAAAAGATCAGTTATTAGAAAGTCAAAAAAATATGATGCATGTAACACAAACTACCAACGAAAAGGCCACGGAGGCATCATACTTAGTTAGCTATCGCATTGCACAAGCAGGTGAAGCGCACACTATCGCTGAGAAATTAATAAAACCATGTGTATTAGACATAACAAAATGTATGCTTGATGAAAAATCTGCAAAGCATCTTTCTACTGTTCCGCTATCAAACGATACTGTTTCACGACGAATCCATGATCTGGCAAGCTACGTCAAACAAGAACTAGTTACACGTCTACAAAATACACGATTCGCTTTGCAAATGGACGAGTCGACTGATGTCGCTGGTTTGGCTATCCTGCTGGTTATTGTGAGATATCCATATAAAAGTTCTTTTGAAGAAGACATGCTTATGTGTTCATCGCTGCTTACAAACACTACCGGGGAAGAAATTTTTAATAAAATAAATATATTTTTTGAAGAACATAATCTCAGTTGGAACAATTGCATTGACATTTGTACAGATGGGGCCAAGGCGATGACAGGTAAAACAGCAGGAGCAGTGTCACGAATGAAAAATAAAGCGCCTAATTGTAGTTCCAGTCATTGTATTCTGCATAGACAAGCACTTGCGATGAAGCAAATGCCGTCTAATCTAAAATTAGTTATGGATGAAGCGGTAAAAATAATTAATTTTATCAAATCACGACCACTACAATCCCGATTGTTCTCATTATTGTGTGAAGATTATGGCAGCAAACATAAAACACTGCTGCTCCATACAGAAGTGCGATGGCTGTCTCGGGGAAAAACTTTAACAAGGCTATTTGAACTTAGAGCCGAGTTACAAATGTTTCTTTCAGCAGATACTTCTTTTAATTTGAAGGACCGTTTGTATGATAAAACTTGGTTGTTCCGATTGTCTTTTATGGCGGATATCTTTCAAAAACTTAACGAATTAAATTTATCATTGCAAGGTAAACAGACAACAGTGTTTCAGGCCTATAATAAAATAACTACTTTTAAAAGAAAATTAGATTTTTGGATCATTTGCATTGGTAAGAAAGAAATAGAAAGTTTTACGTTACTCACTGAGTTTGTTAGCGAAAACGACTCAGAAATGTTTGAAGATAATGTGTTTGAAGAATTGGTCCAATATCTCAGTTCGATGCGCGCATCTTTTGAAAAGTATTTTCCCGAAGAACACAATACAAAAATTAAAGTGAACTCCTGGATTCATAATCCTTTTTTACCCAACTTGGAAAAGCCTGAAAACATGTCAAATGAGATATATGAATCTCTTTTAGAAATGTCATCAGACACAAGTATGGAGTCATTGTTCAAAACGACGCCTCTTAATGATTTTTGGTGCAGAATCCAAGATGAATATGCAATGCTTGGCCAAATGGCTCTGGATATTCTTCTCCCGTTCCCAACTACATATTTGTGCGAAACAGGATTCTCTACCTACGCAGCCACGAAAACAAAATATCGCAATAGACTGGACGCCGAAGCTGATATGAGACTCCAACTTTCTTCCATCAAACCTGATATCAAGCAATTGATGAAAAATAAAAAACAGTTTCATACCTCCCACTAGTTAGATTTTTTCTTTTTTAATGTTTTCTATTATTGTCCTTACCAAGTGGTGAAGTAAATAATAATTAGTAACGGATACATTGTACTTTTATTATGCTGATTAATATAGAATACACTTATAAAAATAATTGTTTTATTGTAGGGTTCCATCAAGTATTTTGCTTCCCAAAAGGGTTCCGTCATTTAAAAAGTTTGAGAACCACTGTACTAATATATGCATAGTATCCTCATACATACTCACTATAGGTAGTGAAGACTTAATTATTTACAGAGGAGTTTCAGGTCAATTCTGAAATTCCCTGAGGTCTCCCAACCTAGGGCAAACAACACACAGTCATATAGAAATCCTGATGACTTCCCTAGGGGGAGACAACAGTCTGACATCATTTCTTAGAATAGATTATAAATATTGACTAAGGTAGGCATATTTTCAGAATCAAAATAAAAAGACGGTTCTCATTATGAAATAAAAACTTTTATTATTATCAGTTCAAATATCGTATTTACATTTTTTTGAACGAGTAAAAGCACATGGTTTATACAATAAAAAAAAATCGTAGGTACAAAAAAAATACATAATCAGCAGCAGGACAATTCGTGACACCTAATCATAACTAAACATATTATTACACCTTAGAAATTATATAGAAGATATTAAAAATAAATCTCGTGAATATCTCCACCGTGGGAAATATGAACGGCAAATGGCAACATAAAGGACTGCAGAACTAAGAGATACAAAACTAATATAATAATTATAATAACTATATACAGAATTCGTTCATTCGTTATACTAATGTAGCAAACGGCGATTCGACATCAGTTCTTCATTATAGAAATGCAAATAATTAATTATGATAACAATAGAATTTCTACTATTCCCATTCATATAAATGCTCAATGTAATAATCTCCCTAACATTTATATAATTGTGTTAGGCACTTCGCACATTTGACGCTTAAACACGATTCCGACTGCGACCGCATCGACTCGAGTTTAGATTCAGAATCTAAACTCGGGTTGGCTGTACTTTAAAAATCTATTATTAATGTATCGTGAAGTTCGTCGTCACATGTCTATTCTATCGCATTAAAAACAAAAGTAGAATGGACGCAGTTGAAGATTACGATATATCGAAAGTCAACTTTAAGGGTACAGGCGCTGCCAAGTGAACATCATAATAATTGTGCCTGAATTGAATTGCATTGGATGACTTTTGATATAGTTATAAAAACGCAAAATAATTTTAACGTAACATTTATTTTCTTATTAGTTTGTTAATTATTATTATATTTTGAGTTTTACTTACAAGGAGCATCAAAAGCAATACCATTGAAACACCATTGACACATGATTATAACGTTAACTTCGAAGAATCGAAACCCTGGGAAGCTAAATAAAACTACAACACCAATTACGCCATTGTGTTTCTTTAGCTGCCAAAGGCTTGTTTAATAAACTTCACAAGTCAATAATTGAGTGACAGACAAGAAATAAGTCTTGCTACCACTGGCAGGATTGGCAGTCGTCTAATGTGCGAAGTGCCTTACAGTTTGCACAACGTGCGCAGTGCCTCACTCAATGGGTGCTTTTTTTAAGGAATCTCTCTCCACGCTTCGTTTAGGTCGGGTAACCTCGATATGAGCATTACAAAGCGATGTACAGTCAACACGTAAATAATGTAAGTAATGAGCTGATTCTCATTACAATTTAGATTTTCTCAATCCATTGGGAATCTGATGTCAAGCACGATAAAGTTTAAGGCCCGTATTACAGAATGACAACTAAGTGTTGATCTTTACTTGCGTACAGTTAGAAAAGGGTGTCGCTATGTGCTATATTTAGCGACATCGCTTTCTAACTATGCTCAAGACTAGATCAATCACTGAGAATCTTTCTATAAAAGTCCGTTGGAGAAAAGGTCACTATTGTGGACCGTACAGAGGGAAAAGCTTTAAGACTATCATGTGATAACCGTTAAAGCTCGATTTCGATAAAGGAAAGAAACTACCTACTATCGAGGTCAATCTAACGATTATTAAAGTATCAGAGCATAGATACATTATAGCACCTTGGAGTTTATTATATTATTGTCTGTATTATGAAGAGTGCATTTTTAATTAATGTTATTTAACAACGAAATGTGACTAAAGTCAAGTATAGGAGATTTAATTTGATCAACTTTAAGGTGAATTAAAAATCTTTTTATTATAATCGGATTTTAATTCCAAAAGGTTCGCTTGAAACGCACGTATCGAGGTGACCCGCAAGACAAATTACTATACACATAGATAAAACTCAACAAACCATGTACATAGAAAATATAGTATTTCACGGACTATACAATTTACGTACTATTTTGGTGTTAGTTACCGAATTTCTACGCGGCGCATGGTGCGGGGGCATTCTTCGACGATCTCTGTACACTCAACATCGAAAACAAGACCCTATTGTCTAAGTTATAGATTACATTATGGGTTATCGCTTCTGAAATAAACTGAATCGTATTCTTCATTATTCATTACAAAGGCATTATTAACATTTTATTTGGATCATTTTTTTTAATATTTTGATGCTGTAACAAAATTGCAAAAAAGATCTAACTCATTTTACATACAATGCTGACAAATTCTTCTAAAAGTATCTACATAAACAGTCAGCTTTTCAGTTCAAATTAAGAATTTACAATAGCGTTTCAGATACGGCAGACTCTACAGCCGAAGAATTACAAGGACGTCCTTTATGGCGAAAATCGCTTGCACCCGATCTCGAAAATAACTAAGGTTTCCTTGCATTATCGAGATTTCGTGCAAGCGATAATGATCTTAAAGTGACAAATGGCTATCTTCGGTTATACGTACTATTTATAAGGCCCCCCTCACACGATGTATACGTTCTAAAGCTCGGTACACATACTACGCTAAGACGATCTACGCTCACTAGTTTTCCGGCGCACAATGACAACATGTTATGTATTTCTAACTAAGTTATGTATTTTTGTTATTCTTATGAAATCCTATGTAGATGAGTGGCAGTATAATTCGTGCGTACAGCCATTATAGCCTCAATTTTTCTCGAAATTAAGTAATATTTTTTTGAAGGTAAAAACTTTTTTAAAGCTTATATTGAAAATTAATTGCTATCTTCACTAGTTTTCGCGTTACGATATTCAAAAGTTATTAACTACGTTATTTATGACAGGAGTTTGATTAAAATTCAATTGAAACAATGAAAAAGTTTCATGAGGCATTTCGATAATGTTATAATATTTTATGCCGACTATCTCAATAGACTTAAAACAAGTATTGCTCATATAATAGTGCTTTTTAAGAGCAACCGCACATTGAGCCAAAATTCGCGGCCTGTAAACGCGACCACTAGTGGGTTCAGTCAAGACACTTCACGCAGCCGCTAATGGCGTAGTGGCGGCCACAAGGGGCTTTATGGCGGCCACAAGGGGCTTTATGGCGGCCAAAAGTGGGCTCATTTAAACCACTAGATGCAGCCACCAATCGCAGCCGCTAATGGCGTAGTGGCGGTCACTGGGGGCTTTATGGCTACCACTAGTGGCTTAGCGGCAGCCACTAAACCACAAGACTTTGATTGGTGGCTGCGTCTAGTGGCTTGACGGAGCCACCAGTGGCTAAATGTGCGGTTACTCTAAATGTACTCTCTGTAAAGGTGTTAAAGCACGATTACGTACGTTTAGAGGAATTATGCGACCAAAGGGCTAAGACTAGATAATGGTGACATAGTTTCTCTGCGCGTACAAATCATAAAATAGAACCAAATGCGATTCCACAATCGTCCCTCGAATGACACTACGTACGAAGCGTTTAATTTACAATGTTGGCACAAATTGGTGTTTACGTTTCGACAGAACTATACACTATTATCGAAATCACAGATCAATAATTATTTTAGTACAGTATTTATTTATATTATTATAGAGACGATAGAAAAAAATCGCATTTCGAAATCCTTTCACTGTTTCACGTTAAAAAGTTGCCGATGCGCCGGTCTGTACTCTAACTATACAATGCACGCCTTACGTACCTTAGTAGTGGGGACCACTAAATTTGACTAAAACAGATTAATTTCACTAATCTTTAGGCTAGACGGAATCTACATCCCATGTACTCTAATCATCTCTCATACACCACAAAAAGTTTATTTTTTTATTTATTTATAATAGTCGAATCGAATTCCCTATCACGTTATAAATTTACAGTAGGACGGTCCCACACTTCATAATAAAATTTGAGATCTGACACGATAAAATAAATTTTGGTAATAGATTATCTCGGTTCAATTCACGTCGTATCACTGGAAGCAGTCCATTGCTCGCTCGTTAGGGGGTATATGCCGTGATGGTGGACTTAAGCAAGCGTGCTAGAATCTGCCAGTCAACCCTCTCCACTCTATGTCACTATTTGAGCACCGTGGAAGGAATGTGTGCATAAGATTCAGACAGAAGCCAAAATACATATAGAGTACCCCTACCATGAGTTTCATAGCGCGTCCGATAGTAACCAGAGAGTACAAAATGGTATTTCCAAAGCGTTCGCTCGATGTAAACCCACAATAAGAGTCTCGAGTAAAAACCGTATAGCTCTCATAAGACTGCATTAAAGTTCATCGACAATTATCCCTTAATATTATAAATAAACATCTTCAAAATTTTTACCAAATTATGAGCATATATCCAGCATAAAATTCTTTTAAAATAACACGTCATACTCTTTTCTTTTCATTGTTAATAGATATACATACATGGCACACTGCTCTGTTATATATTTATACATATATAATTCGTACACTCGATACCTATCAGTTTACCTTGTCACCATAGAATAATTGAATTATATGGATGGATATTCCGTTAGAAGCTAACAAGCGCTTAAAATATTCAAATAGTCCAAGCGATCGACGAATGGACGAAAACAATATAGTTGGGGAATTACTAATTAAACGAATACTGTCGCCGGCATCCGATGCCCGTTTATAAACTAGACGAGAGAACTATCACGAAAACGTTGGTCCATCGAAAACGAGTCGACCAGATTTCGACTTTTCATTTATTAAAACTATAGGAATTGAAACGTACTAGAGGTCTTCCATAAAGTACATTACACTAATTTCGTGATTTTTAACGTCTTCCCCGTCCTTGTGATCACTTTTTTGAGTCTCACCACTCCCTAATGTGACGGTGCATGTTTTGTTATTTAACATCTATTTTTTTTTAATAAAACATCAGTACCGGAAAATAGCCAACAAAATAAATCAAAACATACACAGGTAAGAGTTCTAAATATTTTAAATTTTTTTGGTCGTTCTAAAGTATAAGTTTTTGAATTGTGACGGCACGAATTCAGAACCCTTCCCACCCCTTGTCACACAATTTCACACTTCGTTGACCCCCTCCCTTCCTCTTAACGTGTGACGTACTTTTTGGATGACCCCCCTAGCTATCGCTCGTAGTAGCGGCGCTGTCTTCTCATATGTCTGGCGTCCGAGCTTAGACGTCCGAACGTCCATTGGTGACTTGAGTTGGGACGCGCAGACTAAAGGGAAGGCGGTTGCGTCCGAGAGTCAACGAACATAACAGATTCAACTAAAGTAGGTAGCGACTCGAAGCTCACTTAACTGCGGCGTGCCGCGTCTCCGGGTGTAGGCACACACCCTCCACCGTGAAGATCGAGACCTCTGCAACAAAAGTGACAGGGTTAATATGATAATTCTTTAAATAAAACATTTTTAACGATTGGCACACGAAACTTAAATGCTTGACTTTTAGTAATTTTTCAGATTCCGCGGTCCCAAAACCGAAAGAAGTCGTAAACGTAAAGAATTTTAATATGTAAAAATTCAGATAGCGCTTCTTAACATACTTATTGGTATACGCAAAAATATAACACAGGGGATAAATATAGTTTTTTAATCTATACAATTGGAACACGGATCTCTAGATTTTAAGCTATTAATTTAATGAATGTATAAATAATTATATTCCTTACAAATAGTCTTACCAAAACCAAAAAGTTTAAAATAGCACAATTCAAAATTGGGCCAAGTCTCGAAGTCACAGAGGTAGGGAAGCAAAAAACGCGTACCTACTGCAGAGCCGAGTGGGCGACCGGGCGACCTGGTGTCGATTTGGGTCCGGTTGGAGTGAAGCCGCTTCTAACCTCTCTGTCCAGTTTAAGACAACACAACTCACTATTGGGCAAGTCTCGGAGTCGCGCAGGCAGGGAAGCAAAGTACGCGTGCTGCAGATCTAAGTGGGCGGTTTGACGTCGGCTTGGGTCTGGTTGGAGTAAGACCGCCGCTAGACTCTTCCTCGCGTCTGTCCCGAACTGTTTCCCAGTTTAAAACGACACAACTCACCATCGGGCAAGTCTCGGAGCCGCGGAGGCAGGGAAGCGAAGTACGCGTGCTGCAGAGCCGAGTGGGCGGCCTGGCGTCGACTAGGATCTGGTTGGAGTAAAGCCGCCGCTAGCCGCTCGGCCTCGCGCCCTCCGTCCCGGAGTCGCGGGAATGCGGAGCCGAGCGGCCGGCCCGGGCAGCTACCCCACCGGCTCACATGCGTCCGTAAGCCAGGTAAACGGCTGACCCCGGACCAACTCTCTTCTGTTGGCGTGCCGACCACCTAATAAATAAGAAGGATATAAGTGCTAGTAAGATTCAAGAAATCAATTGAGGTGAAAAAAACATTAATAAATTTTACTTAGGCCCCACTTGCAGGAAATTTGTCAAGTCTCGGTCCTACTAAAACTAGATATATCCTTTAGAAAAAATTGAATCAATTTGACTATTTTTATTAAATGGTTCATTTGAGATTTAGCAAAATTTCTGCAAGTACACCTTAAGCGTAAACTCAACTACGCGTACGTATGCAGAAGTTAGGACTAAATGAAATCAGGTACTGAGTTCTTAGAAAAAGTAGCAAAATGTTAATTTAGCAATACTTATAAATTTTGTGGAGATTATAAAAACCTTGAATATCTTGTCGAGCTGGTCATGTGTGTCCCGCACGCCGGGGAAGGCGGGCACTCCGCACAGCATCTCCACGAAGATGCAGCCCACGCTCCACATGTCCAGCGACGTGGAGTACTCCGTGCTGCCTAGTAGCACGTCTGCGCAACAATCACCATACTAAGTAACATACCCGCATACCGCTGTCTGACAAAAGGCTAGGTTATCTGGGACTTTCTGCCTTTAGAGCCATCCAACGGTACAAATCCATTATATGAGTCCTCGGGGGCCTATTCACTGAAAAACCACTCGGCTCACCCTCGGCTGGGAGTGGTACCCGAGAAACCGTTTCCGAATCACCGGGTACCCACTCAATATAATAAAAAAAAAGTTTTGTTCTTTTTTTGTATTTGTACCAAAGAAAATCTGTTATCAATAGACTATAGCATAATAAAAACTATTGATCGAAGTCATTACTTCGAGTTGGGCTAATAGACAGTATTTCTATATTTATTATTTAGGTCCGTCAACAATAGACACATTAACATAACAACAAACATAATACAAAAATAAATACTCCACTCCATCAAATATAGAAGAATTCATTCTTCGTTCAATATCCAAAATTAACCTACACAATCAATCAAACGGTAGGGTAAAATATTCAAGAAACGAAGGTAATATACTTAAATCATGTTATACTTTTACTTTATTTCACCTTTACGCGTTTTCACACCGTCTATATTTAGAACGTACAGCAATGTCATTGTCAACGGAATTTTTATACGAAGCGCGGGTGTCAGAGCGAGCGACCTCGTAAAAATGCTTCGCAAATGAGCTTTAATTGAGTTATTTGGCGTGGGTAACAATATTATTTAAACATTTTTAAAATGTTGACTACACACAATTGTTTTGTTTATCGGACTTACAGCTATTCCAGCTATAATATGAAATGAAATAAAATTATACTTTCTTCAAATTGACATATAAAAAGCTCTTTTGAATCGTCCAAAACTATAACACGTGGAGACGTTTAAATCTAAATAAAAATGTACTGGAAAAATTTCCACGCGACCAGGCAGCAGACGGTACTCGAATCCGCACCCTTCGCTATCCGGGCGGATGCACTGACCATTATGCTACCGCGGCCCTAATTGTTCGAGTCCCGTCTGCTGCCTGGTCTACGTGGATTTTTTTCTAGTTCAAATTCTTTAGATTTATACATCTGGCAGTTAAATGCTTCAAAATATAAATGTGACGTTACATTTATATTTTGAAGCATTTAACTGTAAAATACAAAATATAACTAGATATCTGAGAGCTTTTTATTTTATAGGTCATTCACAATCTTTTACGACTACGTCATTTTGGAATTACCAATATTATATTGTGGCAATATTTATAATTTATTTCTGTTATGGCAACACTGTCTATTTCCTGTTCCCTCTTATAATGGAGGTCGAATAAACAGGCAAGTATTTAATCGCTATTCTTTTAATTTATTTACCAGCTAATCTACAGTCGCTATACTTTTCGTTATATTGCATTTCTATCTAATTTACATACAATAATTCCAATTCAATCGGAAAACCGGAAGTGGGTAAATCTTAATTTGACATCGGGTCAGGTGAAACTACATTAAAGCTTGTAGGGAAACCGAAGATGAGACCAATTCTTAATGCTGTCAGAATAATGGGGCTCAAATTCGAGTAATGTCTTTCGTGCACCCGAACACGGACCAACGATAAAACCTGATTGCGCCTTAAGGCCTGATGAATTTTCATTTTCTGTTAGTAGAATAGAGGTTTACCATTTTCTTTCTCACAAAATTGTAAAACTCTGGCAGAAAAGTATGAAGGAACTGGTGCATTATACGAGTATGATCATTCTTCACTTCCAATCTAGCTTGGGAGTGTAAAAGTTTCGTTATTTACGATGCAACGGGTACTATTATTTTATTTCATTACCTTTGCTGTTATTACAGTTTATGACGACGTCATCGCGCTATTTTGTGCTATACAAGCTTTTTAGGTCATTACAGTATTTGCCAATGAAATATTGCTTTCATGGCGAAAATGGATTAAATACGGATAAGGGCATAGTCCCGGGAATTCCAGGTAAATTCGGAACTGGGAATTCCGGGTTGAAACACATTTATTGGTACCGTTGCCTAAATAACTACCGGTTCCTAATTTCACGTTGTGGATTGAATTTGATTCCGTTTTCAAACTTTTGTATTCTTCTACGAAAACGGCTGGTTAGTTATCATCCTTCAGTAAAAGGACTGACAAAAACCGTAACCGAACCCGACTCTGTACCCTAACACGGACCATCTGTAAGGATTTATGTCCACTGAAGCGGAGATGCGAGAAGCTATGCAGAGACTTAAAGAAATTGGCCATTGGTATTGACTCATGACTTATTTATTTGTCGTACTATTCGTAAGTGGAATTATTTGCCCGCGCACGTGTTCCCTCCTTCTTACAATAGAGGCGTGAAGAAGCATTTTTGCAGGCCGGCAAGGCGAGGATGCTAGGTGTGGCAGTTTCTAACCGCTGTACCAGGTATCTTGTACTTTATCACCACTTAACATCAGGTGGGGTAGAGTCCTTTGCCTACCTGGCTATAACAAAAAAATAACAAGCAATCTCAGCAAACATCGTAATATTTATTGGTACTCGTATTTCCGGGGATGAAGGCGCTGGCGACCGAAATACAGGTTTTTTACCTAGTTCGGTGACAGATGCTCTATTATAAAGATTAATGTTACTGGGTTATTAGTTGATAATTGACCAGTTTCCTCCTGTAACTTCTTTATATAAATAAATTATTATTATATTACTAGTGGCCCGCCCTCGCTTCGCTTCGGTGTAGAACTGTAGTGTAGGTAGACTTCAGTTTTTGTTTTCAGGCTTGTATTATACACAATGAATTTCTTTATATAATTATTTTTCTCACGTTTTAAACCTTCCCTAGACCGCCACGAACATTTCAAGACCAAGATAAGATAAATCTGTTCAGCCGTTCTCGAGTATTAGCGAGACTAACGAACAGCAATTGAATTTTATATATATAGATAATTAGCTCCGTGCAGCTCTGCCTCTGTGGAACTGCAGCCTTATGAGAAAAAGAAGGTTGTACAAAAAATAATGATTCAACTTTATAAGACTTACCCGGCGGCCTGTACCATAGAGTGACCACTTCGTGCGAGTACGTGTGGCTGGGCACCGACTTGGCGCGCGCCAGACCGAAGTCGGCTAACTTCAGTTCGCCGCGCGCGCTTATTAACAGGTTCTGCGGTTTCACGTCCCTGGTTTGAGGATACACAAACATGAAAAGATGAAACCTTATCATTTCAATTTATTTTCATAATTAATTGTAATAAAATATAATTGCGGATAAATGACACCTATTATTATATACTAAACTGAGCAGAGTTGGTACTATGGATTTAAATACTAATTAATTTATGTCAGTAACAGTAAAGTAGTGGCACCAAGGACAGACAAGAACCAATGATCGACATTTCCTTCCGCGATCATGAAATCAAGAGTAGGTTACCGATCACTAAATATGGCAATACCGAGCTATAGACTCTCGGACTTACATTAAGGCACGTATTAATCGCTCTTAACTCTTGAGATTATGATCTTGAGATACTGTTTTCAAACAAAACAGCATCTCAAAATCGTACTCAAGATTACTCTCAGATTTGGGAGCGATCTATTAATACCATATATTACTATTAATATCATTGCCTTCTCTACTCTACTTTCATTGATTACACACAAAAACGTCGATTTTATTGGCTCCTGTTTGGTCATTAGTGCCACTACCTTGTATACTTTTTGAGAAACAAGCACAACTTGGGAAGAACTTCGATTAATCAATGTAAATACAGAATTGATGAAACAGTAAAATTCAGTAAAAACCTTTGCAACTCATAAACCTCGAAAGACAGAAAGCATAAGAATATCCTGCTTAACGTTACCTACATTAATGTTCTATTTACAAACGTGTCACATGAACAAAATCTATGCCGAACATTTTCACCAGTAGCCAAACAACAAACAAACGTTACAAACAATCACACCATTGTACGACCGATATAGTAGCAGTCGTACGGAGAGCCATCACAATGAGTATTTAGCATCGATATGAGCGCACTGTAAACACAATGGTTCAACCCTGGCTAGATCGCGATGGCCCGGCACGTACACAATTTATAGACGAAACTCTCAACTTTAGCACTCGGTTTTAAAGTCGCAAAATCGATTGCGGTGTTATGACATTTTGTGGTGGTCGAATGTGCTGTTGTGTGTACGTAACTTATGTAACTAGAGGATCGCACGTGCCTATATAAGAATTAGGTTATTGTTATACGACAAGAAGCTAGTTGTAGCAGTAGTTAGCGCGTTCAGGATACGATCGTAGAAGTTAAGCAACTTTTGCAATAGCCGACAATAGGATGGGTGACCAAAAATTTACTATGGCACACACCAATCCGCACTGGCTCCTAGTGGTAGGTCTTGGCCCTATCTCCATATTCCGTCCATTAGGAACAGTTGTGATCTGTGACTGTTCTGAATGATTTTGTCTAACGCATTCTAATATCATACATTGGAAGATGGTGAGATCGCTATGCTCCGCACGTTCGTATGTAGCTTACGTAACTAAAGGATAGCGCTTGCGTACATTAAAACAAGTTATTGCCCTACTGGTGTACAATTTTACAGCGTCTTGTGGGAATTATGAAGCAATATTAACTGCGCACGTTGTGACTGGGCCGTTTTATTTTATACACTTTTTAGTAGTACAGCCACGTGTTTAAAAATATTATATGTAGCACTTTTGATAGTTAAACGCTATTACAGTTAGAATAAATCTTTCGTAAATACAGAGCCGTGTAAAAATATTCTTCTGACGGCTGCTTCATACATCAGCAGAATCTTATAGCTTTTGATAAATTTTCACACGATCAAAATATTGTTGATGATCATCATAATTAAATTAAATAAAAATAAATCAAAGAAATAAATATATCATCATCATCACCAACCAATATGTTAATGTCCTCATTGTTGGGGCACAGAGCTTCAATACGGAAGGAATAGGATGAACGCGCCATAACTCACCAAGCGGACCCAGCTCGGGATTGGTGGGTGAATTTTCAAATAAAAATAATAAAAGTCAGTCTTTGTAACATAACCTAAATTCGTCTACGCGCTAACCATCTTGCTGGATAGTACGTAGAGGACTTAACACTTGTCTCCACTTAGACAATGGAGGTAAGTCTTAATGTGCTTGAAGAGTCCCCTGGTTCGCAAGTCCAAGCTATTCTTTGGCACAAGTCGCGGCGCAATAAACCAAAGTAGGATAATGTAGGCGCGCGCGGGGTGTCACTGAACTGAAACCTATAGTTACGGTCTTTGTAAACTTCACAACCGCCATAAAATTTGAAACGACTATAGAGTTTTGCTTTCTTTTCTCTACCACGTAGTTGAGCTGGCAATCAATCGCATGAAGCACCCTTGAATAATCATTTAGTTGCGTCATTACATACCTGTGTAATACTCTTCTCCTGTGGCAGTAGGATAAGCCCCTTAGTAACTGGAACATGAACAGTCTGACGTTGTGGTGATTCAGTCCGCCCGGGTGCTTCTCCATGTATTGTGATAAATCCGTGTCCTAGGACAAAAACATAAAAAAATATTAGTAGGTATGTGTTTCCAAATTGACTGCCTATTGATTTGTCTAGTATTATGAGGTGTTTTATTATTAATATGATCCACATATTAACGTTTAGTTAAGAGTTTAAATGAGATATTTTACAAATGACATACTTTTGATAAAAAATACTACAATAACGAAACACACAAATATAAGAGAAGAGAACAATTATATACCTTAAGTTATCTTATTGACTACCCTAAAATTCTCGATAAAGACTAACTATTTTCTCCTCTGATCTCTTCATAAAATCGCTTTACACAAGTCCTATTTCTTGTTTCCTCCCATTTCAGTTCAAAGAGGAGAGAATTAAATATTCTTACCAATTTCAATAAACGACACCTAGTAAACTGAGGGACTCTTGAGATATTTCCTCGCTCCACGCGTTCGTATTTCCAAGTAACTGAGATATTATCCACCAAAGGAAAAGACTCGTAATTTTCTTTGTAACTAAACCTTATATTTTCGCATAAGCTTTGATATATGACGGCGTACAAACTCCCATGGTGGACTGGCAGTGAGCGAAAGAACAACATACAATGTGCTGGCTGAAAACTTTCCCCATCTATCAATGGGTTGGGTAGTTTGACAAAGTGTTATTGACATGGGCAGACCACTTATTATTATTTTATTCGGAACAAAAAAGAATTGCCTCAAGCATAACGTTAAAAAAACGACAAAGGTAAGCTGATGAATGATTTTTTTTTTAACATGTGTCATTGTTTTACATAGTTAGGTTCTGAGTATGCAATACTTTGCCATTGCAATATACAGAGGTACGTAATACATATGACTGCCGCTTAAAATCAAGCGGGCTACATTCCTGGTTGCTAGGCTGTTGAAAGACAAACTATACTAGATGCCCGACTGGCGGGCATACCACTAACAAACTTGGTCAGTTTGCTTTCAGTATTCGAGTGATGGTGAAAAGACTCTGTGGCTTAGTGCCTGTTTTGCTAGCTGATAATGATAGCGGTAAGCGCAGATACAAAACAATTAAAGGCTGTTGTGATTGCCGCCCGAAAACCGGTCAACAACTCGTTAGCGTGTTCGGTCTGCGATCGTTGATGTAGGCAACTTTCGCGATGGGTGATCAAAAACTTAATATCTCGAGCTCCTCTGTGCTTCGGAACGAACTTTAAACCAGCTGCATCTGCAGTCGTTAGCACTGAGATCGCGTGGTTGATAATGGCCTGATCTCCCTATTCCATCCGTAGGAAAGGCCTATGACCCTGCAGTGGGGGCATTAAAAGGCTGCTCCTTGAGCAGAGACTGCGCTTCAGCAATGGGGGAATTGAGAGGGCGCGCCCTCCTCCTCTTGCAGTGTGGTCTCAGCAGTGAAGGCATTAAAAGGCTGCTGATGATGCTGTTGATTGTAAAATAACAGAAAACTTACCACGAACTCGAACACGAATATGAGTGTTTCGCGCGTATGCACAATGTCGTGCAACGTGACGATGTTTGCGTGCTTCAGCTCCTTGAGCAGAGACGCCTCCCTGATCGCCGTGAACGGTGCGCCCTCCTCCTCTTGCAGTGTGATCTCTTTAAGTGCTACAACTTGCTGCGTTAAACTGTTGGACAAAAGGAAAGAGAACTTTATAGCTTTGTCAAGACCAGTAGGCCTATTCGCTAACGGTTTTTGACAGATGGCAATGTTAATCACCGAACTATTTACTGTTGCTTAATTATAACTCTACTTAGATACTTGTCCTGAAAAGCATCGATGGATATACAAATTTCTCTTTAATTACATACTGTAAATGTCAAACAAGTAAGCGAATAGGCCGACAGAATATGACGCAAAAAGACACGGCGCCTATTGCACATGTTCCGCACAGATCCGCATCGAAAATTTTGGATGATAATAATAATAATAATCATTTATTTGCCAAAATATGGTTACAATAGTTGTTAGCTCTTTAGTTTCCAGCATATTTTGTTGAATGTCAACGTGCAAATATTACATAATATAAAAGACAATTAAATTAATGAGGTTCACTGACGTCAAAATAAATAAAATTAATTTAAAGATCACAAAAAAAAGTACTTATAATCTATTCATAATTAATAAAGTCAGGAAAAATTGCATCGATATTGAATTAAAATGTCAGAAAATTACATATATTTATCATTTACATAATTTATACTATTAAATTAAATACACAAGAATGTCAACCAAATATATATTAGGGTATTTTATCATTTAAAAAATCATTAATTGTATAGTACATTTTGTTGATTAAAAATGTAAATAATTCAGTCCTAAATTTGGTTAAATTCAGTTTTTTTATATTTGAGGGTAACTTATTAAATATACGAATGGACATACAATATGCATTTTTGGAAAATATCATTAGTCTTTGGATTGGAACACATAAGTCGTTCCCTTTCCTACCTCTATATTCAACATCTTTTTTTTGCTTATATAAGTGAAAATACTTTTTAACAAACACTGCCATTTCAAAAATATATAAACATGGAACTGGCAGTATTCCAAGCAATTTGAATAAGGGCTTACATGAGTCCAAATAACCTGCACCACAAAGTGACCGTATACATTTTTTTTGAATTTTAAAGGCTTTAATTGCATCTACTGAATTTCCCCACAGTATTATACCATAACGCAACACAGATGAAACATAACCATGGTAAGCTATTAGTGCCGATTGTTGCGATGCTATCTCTCTTATTCTATTCAGAGCATATATAAATCTATCAAGCTTATTTATTACAGTGTCAATATGAGCTTTCCAGTTACAGAATTTGTCTAAGGTTATTCCTAAAAATTTTGTGTCATTTACTTCTTCTATAGGTTGGTTATTCACACTTATATTAATTTTATCATTTTTGCTATTTATTGTTTTAAAATGAATAAATTTTGTTTTATTTACATTTATAATAAGGTTATTATTTTTCAACCACTGTGCTATTTTCTGTAATTCTGTATTTGCTTTATGTTCTATTTTTCCGTCTTTATCACTTATAATTAGGGTAATATCATCGGCGAATAAAATACATTTTTGGTCGGTAACATTTGGCAAGTCGTTAATATAAAGCAGGAAAAGTAGTGGTCCCAGAACGCTCCCTTGTGGCACACCGCATAGATTTTGTCTATATTTTGATGTAACAGATTTCCTATCTTTACCTTTTATGTTAGATATTTCTACACATTGTAAACGACTTTCAAGGTAGCTTTTCAACCAGTCCAAAGCATTACCTCTTATACCATATCTTTCTAATTTATTCAAGAGGAGTCTATGCGATACGAAATCGAATGCTTTGCTCATGTCAAGATATATTGCAAGAGTATTCATTCTCGATTCAAGGCTCTGTGTAATACCTTTAACAAGGTTGAAGCATGCAAGAGTTGTACTACTGTTTTTTCGAAATCCATATTGTTCATCCTTAAGAATCTTATTAAATGTAATAAATGTGTAGATTTTATCATACATGACCTTTTCAAAAATTTTTGATAGTACTGGAATTAGGGTTATAGGTCTATAGTTACAAATTTCATTGACAGAACCTTTTTTATATAGTGGTTTAATTAACGATCGTTTCAGACATTTAGGAAAATGACCCTGAACAAAGGACGCATTAATTATATGAGCAAGTGGCTTAACAATAAATTTTGCACTTTTTTTATTATATTCGTATTTATTTCATCGTAACCAGTAGAATAGGTATTATTTAAATTCATAATTATCTTATAAATATCGTTTTCATTAATGGGTGTCAAATATAAACTATTCGGGTGATAAGGTATATCACGAACAGCGTTAGATAAGTCAGTATTTTGGTCAAAATTATTTTTGTTAGTTTCATTTATAAAATATTCATTAAAATTTTCACTTATTTTTATTGGATCATTAATATATAAATTGTCACTTAATTTAATTTCATCAATATTATTCCTAATGTCCTTCCTATTTATATTATATTTTATTATCTCCCAAGCTGATTTACAGGTATTTTTTGCTTGAGAAATGTATTTAGTATTAGTATTTCGTTGTGCTTGATATATACACTTCTTCAGTATTTTTGTATAGTTTATATAATCACTTTTATTTCTTTTTTTATTTGATGAGTTAAGTCTGTATTGAAGGTAAAGACGTCTCTTGTTAACACAGCATTTCTTTATGCCTTTAGTCAACCAAGTGTTTTTAATAGGTTTGTTAACTTTTTTTATCCTAATTAATGGAAAACATAGGTAATAAAATAATTTGAACAACTCATAAAACTTACTAAATGCTCTTTCAGTGTCGTCCTCTTGTAAGACTTCATTGAAGGACAATGCTGAAACGCAATCCATATTTTTTTTTATATTATTTGGGTTCATATCCCGCCTCTTTTCAAACCATACCTTCGGTTTTATTTTGTATTTTGAAGCAGTCTGGAGTTCAAACGTAATAGTCTGGCATGTCTCGTGATCCGATAAACACATATAATGTACTTTTGGATCAACCTCAGATTTTATATTGCTAACTATGAGATCTAAACAAGCTTTTTTACGAGTAGGTTGCGTGATATGGTTAACCATATTGTGGTTGCTTAAGATACTTGTCAGTTCCTGAGAATTTTTGTTTGACTGAATCATATCGATGTTCCAATCACCACATAATACTATATTTTTATTGCGTTTTCGTGAAAGTCTACTTAACAAAGAATCCAAATTTTGTAAAAATATGTCAATTTTAGATGATGGTGTTCTATATATACAAACTATAATTAAGTTGAATTGCAGTATTTCTACAGCACAGCATTCAAATGCAAATGGTATAGATTCTTTTATATCATAAGTCATGAAGTCCAACGTATTTCTCAACAATATGCAGGTGCCACCTCTTCGCTCTGTTCTACAAAACGTTGAGGCAACATTATAACCATTTAGATGTAAATTACTTTGAGAGCCTTTTTTTATAAATGTTTCAGTTAAACATATTATATCAATATTTCCTAGTTCATTCAATGCTTGTTGAAATAGATCACATTTACTGAGAATACTCGCTATGTTTTGATGAACCAGGGTTAATCGTTTTCTTAATCCGAAAAAACCTACTATCTATATTCATCACATTTGATTTATCAAGAACTAAATTAGGATCACAACGTTTAAAATAAAATGGGATGGTTTTTTGGGTTAAAGTTTGTTTAGAGCTGTATTTTTTTACATAATTCGGTTGTTTACTATTTAGCAAAATATGTTTGATTTGTTTTGGTGCAAGGTATTTTTTAAAGTAAGTAATAAAGTCCATTTCTAAGCCAATCTTTAAACATAATTCATTTAAATATTGGTCTTTGTTTGTCAAAAAGTATTGAGAATGGAATTCTAAGAAATTACAATGAGGGTAGGTTTTAGTCAACAACTTTATATTATAATTTAATAAATCTAAATTTAAGTAAGAATTGTATTGCACATTCATTATGAAAACCTTAAAATGTCTTAATTTGTACAGTGCAGTCCCTAACTCTGAAAACAATAAGTAGGGGTTTTTGTCATTCATACCTAATGCTAAAATAACTATGTCATCTTTATTCAACTTATTTTCTAAATCATTACAACTAGTCAAAATTTGAGAACATGAAGCTCCCGTTTTCACAATGGTCGTAAAGCAATACGAGTCGTTTATTCAATGTAGGAAACATTACATGAATTTTTTCTGATAAATTTTGTATTTGTTCATCTCCCAATATTACTACTTTAGATTTTAAAGCGTTACATTGAAGACCAGTAGCTCCATATTGAACATCCTTCTCAGTCTGATATCTTTTAATACAACAAATTGCTTATTAATACTAATTTATGGATATTCAAATAAAAACTTGTCGGTCAAACTCGCAAATCGATGCAGACCATCAAAACTAGAAATTAGCCTACCTCTGTCACGTCTTCGGAAACGAGAGATACGATTTACTGCAAAATCATAAAGATGGGCAAAATTACAGGGAAACATCGAGCAGGCTCCCGGAAAGTCGTGAATTCGAAACATACGCAAGTGGATTGGAGTCAAGAGCGCCGCAGAAAACCGGCGACGCTGTTTCACCTCGCCACGGACAAAACGTCATTTTCAAGACTGATGTCCAACTTTCATTAACTGGAGAGGAATATGAAGCAACAGAAAAAGAAATAAAATCTGCCAATAAGAACACAAGGCCAAGAACCAAGATGCAGATCTACTTCACATGACAGAAAATTTACAATAAAATTATGCGCGAAATGTGATCGCTGCACCCTCTTCTTGTAGTCCCTATATCTCTTTTTGTGATTCTTCTTTATTAGCAGCGAAAAACCACACGACAAACGAAACCGAACGAACGAACGAACCGGACACAAAGAAAACAGAACGCCCACTTGAGAAGTCCATAACAGAAAGTTTCCTATGATTTCGTAACTTTGTTCATCAGGGGCTGAATGGGGACCGCTCTCGATCGACGACAACAATAAAAGATCTTCAGCTGATAAAGCGTTTTTAATTTAGAAGTTACAGTGTTATAATGGACTTTAAGGACCACCCCACCCGTGACACCCTTTAAAGTACATGACCGATGATTGATTTATAAATAAATTGAA